TGACCTGTATTTTCTCTCATTCATCAAGCAGTCCAGGCTGAAATGCTCTTTATAACTTCACCATAAATGGGTGGGGAGCAACTACTGTAGAGTGAATAGGCTGGTATATGTAAATGTGTTGGTGTTTGTGACATCACAGAAACAGTGGGCCTCATTCACCAATATCCCTGAGGATATTCCCACTCGAGAAAGGGAAAGGTGCTAAGAAAAATCTACGATAGATTCGTGACGTGTTCTTAAACCACATAACTGTTGGCATCTTTGCATTCTTGAGTGTGTAGATTGTGTTCTTATCTAAGAATAAATCCCAAACAAAACATTTAATGTCAAAATCTTCATGAAAACTAGGTGTGTTTTAAGAAGAAATTTCTTCTTAAGAATAGTTAATAAATGAGGCCCAATGCACTCAAAACAGACAGCTTATTTTCAATATATGGACTGTATGGACTAGGGAATAAATTATACCTTTTGAAACCTTAGTACTGTTTATATACTACGTCAAACTCTTTAATGAAATAAGGGAAAATAATGTTTTTTAATGACATGAGTCTTTTAATGCATAGTGATATGGCCTATATAGATGTGTCTAATTTGGGCTTTATTGAACGAACAAGATCTTTGTCTTCCAGTAACAATAGATGTTCCTTAAAATAATGTGTTACCTAAAATAATAGTAGTAAAAAGTGACCGAATAATAAGCCTAGCATTGCAGTGGTTTGTGTTTATTTGTATTTATTCTAATGTACATGTTTTTTCTGAGCAAATAAGGGCTCACTGCCCAGATAGATAGCTTTTAATAGAACTTTCTCAGGGGGACTAAGACTTTTTGCACAGTACTTTACATGTGTTGCTCGCGCCTGCTTCTTGCAAATCTCTTGTGGGCTTATTATATTAGCAGCGTTTTATATCGTAAGAAGTGGCTTGTAATGGCCTAAGCCAAAGTCAAAGTTATCAAAGTGGTGTAATGTTGTAGAGTGCTGATGTAGGCTTTTGATAAGGTCACCGGTGGGCCATCAGGAGCCTGAGGCTACTCCTCGTAAATGACCCGTGCTGACTGTGGCGCCTTTTTCGGCATATCTCTCCTACAGAGTCATCATCATTTCATCATTTCATTCACTGCCGAAATTTTTGGCTGTCTCCTTTAGCCATATACTTCATACTTTATTTAACGTGTGTCAGAAGGAGTTTTACTGGAGGAGGTCGTAGTCAACTGTAATGCAGCACATTTACCTACATGCAAGGAGGAAGATGCAGATATTTGGAAATTTCACCTCCACATTTAACCCATCCATGCAGTGAAACACCACATACACATTAGGGAATGCACACACACACATTAGGGGGCAGTGAGCACACTTGCCCTATCCGCGGTGCCCGGAGAGCAGTTGGGGGTTAGGTGCCTTGCTCAAGGGCACTTCAGTCACGTACTGTTGGCTCGGGATCATCGAATGTCACTGAAAACCAAATTGTCCTTCCTTTTATGAAATAGGAGTTTGAAGTATAGTCTGTAAACTGTATTATTTTCAAAATATACAAGTCTGTATATGGAAAATGAGCTGCACAAAGAGCCTACTTTGAATTAATTGTTTTTGTGATGTCATAAAAACAACACATTTACACTTATGCCAAAGTTTGGGCAGGCGAATGAAATATTTTGTTGATTTTTGAAGTGAAAAGACGTAATCAGTGGCATTTTTTTTAATAACATTTTCTGTAAATGTCAGTACACAGTTATAATACAAAGTTACACACAGCTACCTTTATGAACTAAAAATATTTTAAAATATAATAGTTATTGTGGCATGAACAAAGGTTTATACACCCTATCAAGTCAGAACTTAGTAAAACCCCTTTGGCAGGTATTATAGCTTGCAGAGGCTTTTTGTAGCCAACTGGGAGTCGTTCTATTCTTGTTTTAGGAATTTTCACCCCCTCTTCTTCGCAGAACGCTTCTATTTCGGCAATATTCTTGGGCCGTCTTGCATGCACAGCATGTTTCAGACCACGTGTTTTCAGTGATGATTTCAATGCTTTGGCTTGTGTTCTTGGTGAATTATAAGGTATATTTTGGATAATTGTCCTGTTATAGAAGCCATTGTCTTTACGACTTCGGCTTCTTGACTGACTGTCACATTTGCTTCCAGAATTCACTGATATATAGTGGAATCCATTCTTCTATTGACCCGTTTAATGGTTCCTGTGCCACTGTTCATCAAATACTGCTCATTTTTTCCTCCATTTTTGCTTCATTAGCCCTCTTGTTTTCAAAATGCCACTGGCTTATCTAGATGTTGTTTTGTGTACTTCAGATGTTGACTTTTGTGATGAGGTTGCAGGTAAGGTTTCCTTCTGGTGGCTCTTCCATGAAGATCTACTGTACAAGCAATGTGCACGGTAAAACAGTGCACCACCTCTCCTCTGTCAGCTAAACCTTTGCTGTCATATGGGGGTTTTACTTTGCTTTTCTGTCCAGTGTATAAGCAGTTCTGTCTGAGAGTTTTCATGGTCTGCCAAATCTTGCCGTGACTTCTACAGTTCCCCTTAACTGTCATTGCTTAATAACATTTCAGACAGTGGAAATTGCAATCCCGGAGCATTTTGAAAGTCCTAACAAGTCAGTTGAGGCCTAACGAGTTAAGTTCTTTACAAATGGAAAGATATCCAAGCTTTTGCAAATGCCACAATTACCATTTCACTTTTTTCCTATGAATTAAGTTTATTGAGCAAAAAAATAATGCATTAACATTTGCAGAAAAATGTTATCTTTTTCATGTCATTTGGGCACGTGCATACTGTTCATGCTGTAGTTATAAGTAAGCTTTTTGTTTAACTGTAAGGGATAAAGAGAGGTTGCAAAAAGGTCATGTACAAATTATTTACGACTGTTTTTGGTACTAAAACCCACAGCAATGTGTTAAGTGAAGTTTAAATACAAGAAAAATGTAGGAAATGGTCTCTTTAAAGGGACATGTTGTGCTGCACTCTGTATTAAGTTTGCACCATGTTATGTAAAGGGCACAATGCTTTCAGACATTTTAACTGCTTATAACATTGCAGTGTTTATTCACGCTCATGCTGGAGTTAGGTAAGAGTTCAGCAGGGCTAGAAAAGGGACAAAGGTCTCTGACACCAAGAAGAAAAAGCGCTTTCTTGCTTTATGGACTGAAGTTCGACCCAGTCCAAAATTAGAGTAGCGTTTGTGTCTCTCAGTAGGTGTGGGTCATACACCTACCCACAGAAAAAAATCTCCACCGCTGCCACTGCAGAAAAGCCTGGCACCAAATGAAAGATTGTGAGATGATGCAATATGAGTCATTTTTTTCTTCCTAACGTTCAGCTTACACATGGGAAAGCATGTGAAACTTTTGGCTCCAAAAAGACGTCCATTCCAGGATCAACAGCTCTGAAGTCTTTTTGAAAACTTTGATAAAAGTTTCCTTTGAAACACTCACAAATATTCAAGCGATGCACTGAAGTTTAAAAAAATCTTGTTCGAAACTTTAACTGAAAATTTATTCGTGACACTATTGCACAAAAAGAGTTTAGTTTGCCTTTTGAATGAAAATTAATTGAAACTTCAAAAAATGATCAGATATGATTAATTTAAAATGCTTGCTTTGTGGTTATCCAACCAAAACTGTTATTGAATTTATCTATAATACCAATAATAAGAATAGAAATAAAAAATAACAGTAAGACGTTGCACATGGCAATTCAGAACAACAGTGTAGAAACATCTTATACACTACAAAAATACAGTGTTTATATATTTTTTAGGAGAATAATCACAGTACATAATCACATCATTCTATTGTCTTAAAGACAATGTGTTTATTTCACATTTTTATTCTTTCCAGTTAGGTCATTTTAACATTCTAAAGATTGGTCAGTATGAGCGCAGTGCACACACTGCTCGCCCTCAAACTCTGCCTACAAGTACAGCCACTGGCTCACAAGCCGCTGAATGCTGTGGTTTCCTTGGCTTTCTGTCGAAACATCTGCATGAATTAGTGCATGCTTCATGTAAATAATATATAAATGACGTACTGGTAGCCTGGCGCTTGATTTCACGCACTGAAGCTGATTCGGCATTTGTGTTTAGATCTTGTTTTCGCATCGTGCAAGAGCCTCATGAATCAGACAGAGTGCTTCATATGTCTTTACAGGTGGTCAAATCTGCATTGTTTTTTTGCAGCTTTAATGAATAAGAGCAAGTGTGATAACCGGTTTGGCACAGCAAAAAACAGCATCTTTTTAGCCACTAGTTTCATTCAAACCTTTTGCCATTTTTACTGTAAAGTGTCTTTTGTGACAAAATTTTAAATGGACAATATTTCAGTGTGTCCCTAAAATATTCATCTCAATTTTCCAACCAGAACTGCCAAACATTTTTACTTCTTTAACTTTAAACTTCAAAGTACTAGATAATTATTTTGGGTAAAAAGTACTGGGTAGTAAAAAGCTTAAAAAGTGAACAAAGTACAAAGAACAATACATAGAATGTACCTGTCTATTAGACATAAACAATCTAGGCTGTAAAAGAAAGCACTGATTTTGTGGTTGTACTGGGTTTTACGCCGTATATACCTGCTACTTGGAGGTGTTTCTGATTTTGTTCCGCTTAAACGTGACATTACAGTGAAAAATAGTGTGACTGTATAGATTATCTAGATAATATGTAGAACCTGTTTGTCATTTCACTGTAATTTTGTAACACACACTTATTCAATTAATATCTAGAATCTTTTGGGCTTTTTGGTGTCATTTAATTAAACTGTCTTGGAATCATCATGTTACCCAAAATAATTATGTAATATTTTACAGTGTGGAATTTGTACCTTGTAGTTACCTGCTTAATACATAGAACTTAGGAAACAAAGAAAGCATCACCAAATTTTGGTTCATCTCTCAGTTATTCATATCGTATTCCTAGAACTATTTTATTCTTCTGGTTCATTTGTTTCTTTTCTTGCTTCTTTGTTGTTCCCACTGTCATCAAGGTGATCAGCGAGCGGGACATTCTGGGGACACATCTGGTGCGGAGGAATGACGAGCTGGCGCTGCTCTACGAGAAGATCAAGATTCAGCAGTCCATTCTGAACAAGGGCGAGATCCAGTACAACCAGAGAGTGGAGGACATCCGGCTGCTCAAGATGGAGATCAAGAAGCTCAGGAGGGAGAAAGGCATCCTGACAAAGACTGTGTCCAACGTAGAAGACCTCAGGTAGGCTTAAGTTGGAAAGGAAACACTGGCTTGTCGTTGTCACTTATTGCAAGAACTTATACCTTTTCTTCTTGCCCCAAATGTACACTACAGGGCAATGAGCCAAGCCCAAAATATAATAGTTTTTACTGATGGTTTTGGCCTTATCAAAGTCCAGATTTAAACCCTATACAGAATATTTGGTCTCATGTTAAACACAACCTAGCCTGGCAATGTTTTTCAACTGTTTGAAGCCATCAGTGCTGAGAGGAAAAATACTGTCTCTTCTTTTTGTAAAAGGTTGTCTGTAAATTTACACACAAAATTTCAACATTTAAAGAAATCAAAGGGAAAAGCTATCCCATATTAAGTTACTTGATCTATTTGTTTAATTATTTGTTGTTAAGTCCATTAAAATCTTAATATTTTTGCCATTTTGGGCTTGGCCCTTTTTTGTCCAGGAGTGTAGTCATTCAGCTAAGGCATAATTGCTGTCTGAAGTTTAGTTTTGCCCTGGAAGTAGGGACTGGGCAATATATTGAATATTTGCAGTATATTTCCAATGCTTTCTGAGGAGACACTATATGAGGCATTGTTGTGAATAAAGCAGTGATCTTAACGTACCTTCTTATGAGCGTTTTATGCACTCATATGTGTTTGCTGGCTGTTACGCAACATCTCATCATCATATGTGTTAAGCCTTATGAGCAAACTGGATAATACAGTGAATATCTGCGTCCCCTGAACACAGGAGAGCGGAGTTCAATTCCCCGTTCAGGCAGGAATACAGGCAGTACTCCTGTTGGTACCACAGCATCTTGCCACTTGCAGCCGTTTACAGTTTTGTTCTGTGCGTGAAAGATTGTGAGTGACTAAAGGTCTTGAAGGATACACCAGTTGAGTCCTTCAATTTCTTTGAAAACAAACATGCATTTATTAGCTGCATTTGAAGGATCATGCAAAACTGGACAGGCTTTCATGACATAGAATATGTACTTTCAGTACAGTGCAGTTGCAGCACAAAAGAAATATGAATATTAATTCATCCTTGTGTTCATTTAGTGAAAAACAGACCAGCTTTTTCATGATATTAATCAGCATAACTGGCTTTGTGTTCAGAATAAAGGCAGGGATACTGGCATGTCTTTTAAATAATGTTTACTGTGATTTCTTTCTAAATAAATGACTAAATATTGGAAAGACTGCTGGGTCTGGGTGCAGATGTGAATGGGTTTTTACAGAGCAGCATAGAAGTAATGAGTGGTGAGATTACTTTTTTTTAGGAAGTAATGAGGAAAGTAATTCCTTTAGAGTTTGAGAGAAATAATTAGTAGTTTGTGATGGATTACTTTTTTTTGAGTAACTACCCCAACACTACTAATCGCAGAAGTTGATTAGTCGTTCTCCTGCTTCGTTTCTGTTTCCAAGGCCAAGTTGTACAACTGTATTTCCCTCCTTCTCACTTCTGACCTTGGCCTTCCACTCTCACATGAACAGCAGTATATCCTGTTTGCAGGTCTTGGCAATTTCAGCTTGAGCTTCATCATAAAGCACTTTGATTTCTTCTTCGCTTGCATCTGTTGTTGGGGCATAAACGTGTATGACTGTATTGACGTCCTTATTGACAGCGAAAGCCACCCCATTTCTACTTTATTGTTCATTACCTGAGTAGTAGACGTAGATCTCCTGAATGAAAGTCAGTGTCCTATTTCGGTCCATTTTAGTTTGCTGTTATGTTTACACTAGGGATGTGTACAGGCATTTAGGTATGCAGTTACCCATTCAAGGTCCCGGCTTTTAAATACTGAAATCACTGTTTGGGTGTTCGTTATATTTTGTTATGAGAAAATGGAGAAAATATACAGACTAAAAATTCAGTGAAACCCCAATTTTATGTTTTAGCAGTAAGTATGTTATGCTATAATTTGCTGTGAGTGTCTTAATGTGAATGCGTTGCAGAGGATGCATTGTTAAGGACATGACAGTGCAGAATTGTGAACTAGGCTTACACGTCTACACTGTAAAAAAGTCAAAAAGTCAAAATACTATAAAACATTTGATGGTAAATATAGCAGTATTTTAAAAGGTTAAATGAATGTAAATAAACCATACATATACTGTGTTTAACTCTTATTCATTTACACGAAATAGAATGTCAATTCACAAAAACAAATGACCTATATTTCACAGACATTTGTGTTTATTTTAATAGTTTACTGTCACTGTTATTATTATTGTAATTACTGTATGTCAGAATAACTAGTAGGCAGTATTTCTAGGAAATTAAATCATTGTGATTTTACGGATTTTTCTGTGCTGTTACTGTTAATTAACACCGTTTCTTTACCGTTTTTTTTTACAGTGTAGTTCATGCTATCTAGCTCCATAAACAGTGAAAAGATATTTCTCTGAAAAAGTAACATGTTGGTGATGAGTCCAATGATGAGTCATCAGCATCCAGTGTTGTTCCAGTCAGCTCTAGTAGCTCAGTAGCTCATCTGAGGCTGTTTCCACTACTTATCTGACACAATCACCTAACACTTTCCCTTGGCTACTTTGGAATCATATTATGAGAATGCATTCCTCTGCCTACGCTATCATGTAAAAAGGTAAGATATAATCCTATATGAATTTAAGCTGATAGTTTTCTTTTTTTGTCAGTTTTTTTCTTCCCTCTACTTAACAGGATATAATTATGTTCATGAGCTCTTACAGAATGAGTTGCTGTGCACATCCTTAGCTCAGACGATCCATTTCCATTTAAACTACTTCCAGCTTACAGTGATTCATTACGCATACATTCTGAGTTCCGATTGTGATTTTGTTTTTGCAGCTTTGAATTCTTTTTTCTTGCTTGTCAGCGTCAGAAACTAAACATCCAGAAGGCTTTAATCTCCGTGCGTCATATGTATGAACTGCACTTAGCTCTTCCTTAGTCATATGCCTTCCAACTCAAGAGTCCTGTTCACCATTGCCTTCTTCCTGTTGAATTGATGTCGTTTCCATAGTCACCTCTGTGATCATCGTCCAGTGAGCATCACCCTATATTGCTGCTGCTCAAAATAGGGGGTAGGTTCAGTCTGGCTCCTCTGCTAAGACCTTTCAGCCAGCTAAACCTCCAGGCAGTATAGCTCTTTTCTTCCTCAATGCGTCCTCACCTCAACAAGGCACCATAAACAGAGGACAAGATATTTTAGAGAAACACTATCAATAAGGTCACTTCATCTTATGGCTCTTCAGATTGAGAAAGCCGTTTTTATTGTAATGATTTAAACACTTTTAGTTGCATTACTTTACACTTCTGTAAATATACAGGAAATTACTGTATATGTGATAAGTGTACAGCAGAATACAGCTATGGTAATCATGGTGCAGGTGACTGTGGAGTCACAGTATACAGTTGCTAATTTAATATGGTACAATAAATTACTGTGAAAGTAATGCAACTAGTAGCTTATAATGAGCGAAGATTTTTTATAGCATATTAAAATGGCACAGAGCAAAATTCAGGATTGTTCTGGAAAATCCTGAATGATTGGCAAGCCTAACATATTTGTTATCAATCTAAAGTGACAAAAATACACTGCATAGCTAAAAATAGTAGTAGCACCTCTCTTCAGACCTACACTTCAGTCTGTTTTATAGCAGTATGAAACTTGCACCACAGTTCGAGGCAATGTATGATGATACAGGCATGCAGTTTGCACTATGCACATTAGTTTGGTTAAGTCTTGTAACTCCAGTGCAAAACTAAAGAAGCATACTTTAGGTACAAAACACATCTTAGCTGATGTTTTACGTTTGGGATAAGAAGGAAATTGTGAAGATTTTGACTTTCCACCATATTATTCCTTTAAAAGTACTCATAAATGGTTGCAGTTTCCTCTACTCTTAACGAAATTCATCTTCAGTGATTGTTTTAGAACATTCAGCCCTACGGTTGTCTACTTTTCTCCACTTTAGTCTCAACCTTGGCATGTTTATAAAAGTGTCTACTGTCTGCTGTTTTGCGCATGACTAGCTAAACCAAATATCATGGAGATTCACTTTTGGTACGTTTCTGAGCCTCAGAAGGCTCAGAATGAGGCCTTGTGTCTGGCCAGTAGATCAGAGTGTCTCTACTTTTGGCTGTTTCTACAGGAAGTATAGAATGGAAGGCCCACTCTGATAATGCCAAACAGTATCCATAATAGATGTGGTGTTGCACTCTCTCCTGCTTATTTTAGTAATATGAGGGCTCGGGTTAACCTTTCTGCCAGTCCGGCTTCTGACCCCCCCCCCACACACACACACACACTTTCTGTTGAGCTTTTGCTTAATATTCTATGAGTCTGAATTATGCACTGATATTTCCAAACGAGCCCCTCGATTCCACATTATTTCATTAATTCTGATTCAGCTAAATCTTTTTTGAGGTTTTTCTACAGAGCTGAGAGTGAGAGAGAAATAGAGAGAGAGAGAGAGAGAGAGATAGACAGAGAGAGAGAGAGCAAGCGAGATAGAGCGGGCACATAATTGCAAACTAAATGCTAACGTTCACTTGCTAATGACAGCATTACGTGAACTTGAAAATAGTGTCGCTTTCGGTGCCACAGAGGGCGCAATCAGTGAATCATGCTCCTAATGCTAATGCCTATAGTGCTAAATGCTGCAGGTTTGCCATGCGAGATATTTAATCAAATTCCACTTTGTGTACGCTTCTTTAGATTTGAATCAGTGGAGAAAGAACAGAATGGACTAAACCTATATTCACGTGTAATCAAGTGTAACAAATTCAGTATCCACAACACTAGCTGATGATCCTCCTGGCCACAGCAACAGCGCCTCATAATTTAGTTTGGCGCTACAACACCTGAATCAGCTCACGATGGACTTCATAATTAGCTGATAAGTCTAATTAGGTGCGCTAGTGTTGAAGAAACACTCCATCGAAGCGCTGTCCAGGACTGTGACCTACATGGCTGCCTGAAGAACGTTCCAATGCTTTGCCTTGTTATAAAAAGCAATACAGTGAATCATAT